TTGTCTCATCTTGTTTCAAATGTGAATTTCTGGATTTTTATGAGGCTACCTTACATTTCTCCTTAGAGACATATGCATGAATCACACACCCTCTGAGATGCTCTAGGCTAGTTTTCCTCTCCTTTGCTGGAAGGAACTCTGCCACAACCTTGGCCCCCTAATGAGTCCTGCCCCTGTGAGCCATGCCTTGGTTCCAGGGCCTCTGACAGATCACCCAGCTGTGTTGGGGCCTGTGAGAAGCCTTGCAATGCGCATTTTCATTCTTAAACAGGGCCCTGCTTTTTTGTAGGTAGAGCTTATGTGGGGAGTTCTCTCTGGATCCTTTCAAGTACTTGAGTTTGGGTTGAGATGCAGAACCCCAACTAATGCCTTTGATTATATTTAACCTCTTGGGAAATCCCAGGATGCAGTAGGGTGATATCCAGAGCAAGTGGGAAGTAGCTGTAGTTATTCTTCAGACAATTGGCCGACAAACCGAAGGTCATTCTCACTGTCTCTGAAGCCTCTCAAATGAGTAGTGGGTGTTTTCTGAGGGCAGAGCACCCCAAACTCAGTGGCCAGGCAAATAAAACACGGCCAACTCTTGGCCTTAGGTTCCCTATGGGGCCTGCTTCTCGTTCTCCCTTATGGACTTACTTTCTTGGTAAATAAATCTGTGAGTCTTTGAGCTTGTTGTAAAAATGAGATATTCTTGACTTTCATTCATCTAACTGTCTTAATTATACAAATGAACACACAGAAGTCTAATGTGATTAATTAGGTAAAGCCAAGATTGATAACACTTCAGAAACAGTAGCAGGAGGAATGGTTCCCTGAGGGTATGGGAATAGAGGAGGGAGAGGGGGAGGTGGCTAGCTGATAGCATTGGTGACTGTATAACCCCACTTGAAGGGAGCAGACAACAGAATTGTATGTGAATGGATATATTGGATACTGTAAGATATGGCAATCAATCAATCAATCAATCAATCAATCAGTAAAGGCTCCTGGGGGAGACGGTGGGAGAGGGAAGGGATAAAGTGAAACTGATATCAAGGAGTTCAAGAAGAAAAAAAATGTTTTGAAACTGATTGTGGTAGCAATTTTACATTATTGCTTGATTTGATTGTACTATAGAATGTTAATGATATCTGTAAGAGCTTCCAATAAAAGGATTAAAAAATAAAAAAGATATTCTCAAGTGGTTTCCTCTTTTCTTGAAATTCACATTAAAACAAAATAAGAATTTCAATATCAAAGAGGATTAATACACAGAATTTTATATTGTTCTTTTTTGGTAGAGATGCCTTTCACAGTCTTAATACAGTTGTGACCTGATTGTCAAGCTGGAGTTATCTGTAGAAAGTGGCCTGACTCTGAAGGGATGCAGTTAAAATTCTAGACTTTCAGACCCCAGTCTTGATGATAAGTACTTGGCTCTCTTGGGCACAGCACTCCACCGTTTCTGGCTGCAGGAATGATGGAAAGGCTGTAAGAACTTGGCAGGATGTGGAGTGCTTCTGCTCCTGTCTGATTCTGCTTTTTATTTGGCTTCGGACATCATCTGCTTCCAAGGCAAATTTGACTTCTGCGGGGAGCAGGCCTCGCTTTCCGACCTGTCTCCATGGGTTGTTCTGGGGATTTGTTTTGAAGGATCTAATACTGTCTTCTAGGACTTAAGGGATAGAAGTATGTGAGTTCCCAGTCCACGAATAGGGACATTTATGGTTCTCAATAAAACCATGTTACAGTCAAACCACATATGAACAAGCATGAAAAGTAGGCATGGATGAGAGAAAACTGAAAAAGTGAACTCATAGTTGTAGAGAGTGGGCTTAAAAGAATGTAGAAGAGGTTCTACTTCTCCTTAGGGCAGGAGAAGTTGTGGGCTGAATCTAAACCAAAGTGCCACAAAAGCATGGAATATTTTTGAGGGACAGGGCAGAGATGTGGTCTCTCATACCAGCGATAAAGCAATGCTACTCACAAGAGATAGCTATACCTCTAGCATTGAGATATTGTGTACTCTTGTTAAATATCGCTTTCATATTTAAAATTTATTTGTATATACATTTTATAAATATCATATATATCACCACTCTTCCAAATATTCTCCATGATCAAGTATGATTTCTAATTCTCTGAACCTATTCCTGACCTTCTATTTATTTGGGGATTTTTTAAAATTTCACTGGAACTTCATAGATGTCCAAAATCACATTTGCTTTCTCTTCTTCCATTTTTTTTTTTGGTTTTTTTTTTTTTTGCTTTTCTTTTTTTTGTGCTTTTCTCTTCTTCCAAATATTTCCATTCTTTAAGAACTTAAGTAATGCTGAGAAAGTGAGACTACTGTCACCTTTTTTATGTGAGTCCTCAAAATTCACAAATGCTTCTGTGTCTGCCTTTCTACTTTTGTAATGGCTTCCTAGAAGGAGTCCTGGTGGCACTGTTAGGTAGGCATTGCCCTGCTGTGGTTGTGACCACAGTCAGCAGTTCAAACCTACCAGCCCCAGGAGGAAGATGAGACGGTTTACTCTCATAAAGATTTACAGCCTCTGAAACCCTCTCTGGGGTCACTGGGAGTCTGTGCTGGGCTGGCTATTAATTTCCGAGTGCTGCCATGAAAAAAATGCCACAAAGTTGTAACTCAAAACAGCAGAAATCGTTCCTCCCACAGTGCTCGAGGTCCGGGTCCCTCTCCCTCCTGCAAAAGCTCTAAGGGACACTCCGTTCCTTGTTTTGCCCAGATTCTGGTAGCTTTAGGCATTCTCACTTCTTGCTCCTCCACTCTAGTCTCTGCTTCCATGGTCACAGTGCCTTCTTGTTTCAGTGACTCTTTCCTTTCGATGTCTTTTACAAGGATGTGATTGGATTTAGGGCCTATGTGGATGGCCCCAAATGATCTCATCTCAAGATTCTTAACATGATGATATCTGCAAATATCCTGTTGTTTTTTCCAAAGAAATCCACATTCACAGGTTCCTGGGATTCGGATGTAGATATATTTTTTTAGGGTCTACCATTCAACCCTCTACAGCTTCTCTTTCTATTCAAAAATAAAAACTCATTGCCACCAAAACAATTCCAGCTCAC